GTCTGCTTTAAAAAGGACGAGATTTTCCCATTACTGGAGGTATTTAGGCAGAGGCAAGATAAGTATTTGGCGAGGAGGTTGCAGAGGGAAATCGAGCATCAGATCACAAGAGAGGGGAATTAGGCAACCACCAAAGCTGCTTTGGACACTGTAATTTTGGGATTCATGGGACGGGGGGAGCCTGGAGGCGAAAATAGTCGTAGTCCTCAGAGTAGGTACCTCTCAATCAGTTATTATCTCTGCTTCCTGTCTCTCCTCCTCCTGTCTATCTGCACCAAGGCTCCAGAGAGATTTCCCTGAATACTTCATGAGACCTTCCAGTATCATAGAATCTCAGTAGCCCCAGAGGTCATCTGGTTTGGTCCTTTATCACATGCTCCCATTGCTTGAATATCTCTGGTAATGGAGTACCGCCCGCTTTTACAGGCAGGCCGTTCTAACTTCAGGGAGTAAATGCTACTACTAATTGTTAGAAATTTCTTCTCAAACACAGCGAAATGCTTATATTAGGGTGTCGAGATTAGGAATTGTTTTCTCTGCTTTTGGGACTGTCGGTAATAAGTTTTAAAAGGACTTCAAAAGGCTGGAATCATGAGCCGAAAGTTTTATTATCTTTTTTTTTTTTTGTCATTATAAAAAAGAAAGAAGAAAAGCATCTTCCTTTCGTGAAAACCAAATCTGCTTTTTTTATAACTTCCACCCAGGAGATCTTGGCGCCCTTGGAGAAATACACAGAACAAATCTACAGCTTCCTCTTCGCCCTTGAGCCCAGTAATAAGTTGCTGACAGTGGACAAATTTCTCCCAGGATTTTGCCAGTCCCTTCACTATTGTCACCACTCTTTCTCTGAATATACTTTCGTCGACATCTCTTTGGAAGTGTCATGCCTGCAACTGAACAGAGGGCCTCAGGTGTGGTCTGACCAGTGCAGAGTAGCACAAAGCAATCACCTCCTTTATTCTGGACATTATACTCTCATTAATACAGCCCAAGATCACAATGCTTTCTGTGGCAACCAAACCGTGCTTCTGAGTCATAGCTCATGATGAGCTTTCATTCACTCATAAAACTCTCTACGCCACATCTTTCACATCTCACATTTGTACTATTATATTTTGGAAATCAAATAAGTGACTTCATACTTGTCCTTGTTAACTTTCATTTTGCTATAATGAGTCCATCATACCAGCCTCTTGACATCTCTATGAAATCCGATCCTGTCATTTTGGCTTTCTCCCCCGGCTCCGTGTAATTTTCAAAGTTATGATGACCTACTGACCTTAAAGCAGAATCCTTTCGTGTCTAGTCACTCAACTGGCTAAGAGTCTGCCTATGCTTATCTCGATCCACCCTGCATTTCTACATATGGTCCCAAAAGCATCATGAGAGAATGTTTTGTTGAACTCCAGATATACCGTAGATATAGCGCTGTCCTCATTTACCCAGCCAGTCACCCTGCCGGAGGAAACCGGCTGAGTGGGGAATGATTTGTTTTTCCTGAAGCCACCTTCGCTTCCTTTTGTAAGTGCTCACCAACCTTTCTTTTAACCGTTTGCTCTAGACTCTTGCCCTCAATCGATATTAAACTCATCGATCTATACTTTCTGGAATTCATCTCTTCTCATTTGTAAAACCGTGGAGCCACGTTTGCCCATCTCTGAGCCGCAGTAAACATCTCCTTCACTCTCCATGGGGTTTGCAAAAAGCCACCTCCAGTTGTCCCGCAACCTGAGCTGCAAGTCTTCACGATGCCCCGATGCCCGGGGCTGCCGTTGACCCAGGCTGGGAGATGGAATTCCTTGGAGCAGCTCAAGGCTCTTCTGGAAGAGACTGCCTTTAGGAGCCTCTCTTGGTGCTCACGCTGTCCTTTAGGAGCCAAAGAAGACCTGAGGGCATTTGTTTTCTCTTTGCGAAATCATTAGCAAAAGGAAGAGTGGGGTGTCCCATCCCTCACCAATAACACCCAAAATGCTGCTGTTTCGAAGACCTCTGCAACCTGCCTTTCCGACGTGATGTCCAACCATTTAACCTGAATCCTCAGCTCAGGTCAGGTGAATCCCTCACCGCACCTCAAGCATGCCTGGACTGTCTCACCTCCATGCGACTGAGACTTTCCTCTCAATTTGGAACGCTCACTATGCCATCCATCCCAAACCCCCATAGCTTTCCTCGCAATGTCTCCAGCCCCTTTAACCTTGACCATGCAATTGAAGTCACATGCTAAATTATGCATTTCATTCATTTTCTCATAGTTCAGTTTTGTCTTGCTGATAATACGCACCCCAAAGGGGATTTCTATCCCTCACAGTATACAAACTAGCACAGGGCCGGGCCTACAGTCCTAGTAAGCATACTCACTTCCTATAGAGATTTTCACAGTGCCCAGTCTCTGACCCTTCACACACACCACGCGTTCAGACCCCAAGATAGCTGTGTCCAGCTCCCGAAAGGACTAATATAGAAACCAGATGAATGTAGGAATGCAGGCTGAACCCAGCCTAGGCACTAATGGTTTTCGCGATGTGAAATGAAGTCTAAGTGTATCCTCAGCCCCTCTTCCACCTTTCAAAGGCGTGAAGACCAACTGTGATCTCTCATTGATGGGTCCCAAATAGGATTGGAGCTGCACCTGCTCCGGCACCTTGAGTTCTCAGAGGAGAAGCAATGTCCAAATCCTCTCCAAATAAAGAGCCTTCTGATTTGTACGTACGCACACACATGCGCGCACACGCACACCAGAAAAAGAGGCCCAGTTTGGTAATATCCGAGACGGGGCAATCAAAACATTAGAACAGCAAAGACTCCGAATTAACCTAAGAAGGTCATGGGGTCCAGCCCTCTGCTTTCAGGAAGATGAACACTGGTGTTTCCCCTGTAGACATAGTAAAGTTTTTCCTCGTGTCTAACTTAATCTTTCCCTCTCCATCATTCTCAGAAGAAATGGAGAACAGATCGCCATCTCTGTCCTTATTTAGGAATTAAATTGCTGAAGATGATAGAGCGCACTTGTCACATAGTAGCTACTCCATAATTATCGAATGTTGCCTCATCATCTCCCTCCTTTCTAGATTAAAAAACAACAACAACAACAAACCCTTGTCCTTTGGCACATTGTTTTTGCTCTTGCCCAGACCCTCTCCAGCTTTTCCACATGTTCCAAAAATGTGCTGACCAAGGCGTAACCTTCGATGCTTTTGAAGGCACAACCAACCAATGTTACGTAGAGTGGGAAAAGTTGAGGATCGTGGGACAGGGCATATATTTCTGGATTGTGTTCTCAGTCTGTTTCTAACACTAACTGTGACACTGGGCCTTTCTAGGTTCATTTCCCCAATTGTAAAATAAGCGGGTTGGACTAGATAACTCCGAAGTTACTTCTAATCTAAAACTCAGACTCCGATTACTTCCCAGCTACTCCATGCTATATATTTGTCACTATATCGAGTTAATCATTGTCCATCTCTCTTGTCCCCACGCATCATATCAGTAGGTTAGTTCTGGGTTTAGGTCCTAAACCCCTCTGAACATCATCCCGTTGCGTTGGGTCATCCACCTCATTTTGTCAGGGTCACTTTGAAGCGTTCTATTCCTGGTTTGTGACGTGTCAGCAACCCCACCCAACTGTCACGCTTGATGAGCAGACTGGTTTAGCCCTTCAAGACAATAGTATGAAATACCATAATGCTAACCCTGTGGCGCCCCTTCGAATCTGTCCCTCAGGGTTGATAGGGAGCCACTGACCACAATCCTGGAGAAAAATCGCTCCCAGGGCCCCAACGACTTCTCTAATTCTAATTCACAGAACAGGACACTGAGCATCCCTGGGGAGGAAAGGGCCCCTGCTCTGTAAGGAGCCCAAGGCCAGGGAGTCCACAGATCTGATGCTGCCCCGGACTTGGATACCAGTAAGAATTTCAGCACGTTACAGGTCAAACTTCCTTCCAGCCCTCAGTCCAGGATGAGGAAGGGTGGTGGCGATGGTGGCAGTGGCAGCGGTGGGCGGCTGCAGCCACAATGGCATGCGGCGGAGGAGGAAATGTTCTTTTTTGCCCTTTAATTAGGAGGCCCAAGGTGATGAGAAAAGGCTTCAGCCCAGGAAGCCAGAGCCTGAGGGGGGCAGGTGGTAGCTGGGGACAGCAACCTGATGCAGATCGGAGAGGCATTCATGCGGGTCTAGCAGAGTGCAGCCCGGACTTGTAGCATCTTAAAGGTCCAGGAGGCAGACAGCTGTCATCGTTCCCAGCCTGCAGAGGCGCCCAGCTGGGAGGTCTGCTGGGCCAAGGCCTGTGTGAGGGAGGCAAGTTGGGAGTGCTAACTGGATTTTTTATTTTTCTATCAAGACACCGTGTTTAAAATTTTTACAAAGGACAAACTCCGTGGGTTTCCGTTAGTGTTTTAAGAACTTTCTTTAAAAAAAAAAAAAGCCAACAACAACAAAAAACACCGCCTTTTTGAAAGAGAAATGACAGACACAAAAGAGATTCTGTAAAGAAAATGGGGTGAATTTCTCATAGTATTACCCCAAGGGCAGAGGCAGAACCCAGATTATACCCGGGGGCCCGATAATGACGCGGCCTCCACAGTACCTCGTTCAGAAAAATCTACCCTGTGGTCTCTGCAGCCCTGGAAGGGACACAGAGACGGCTGGAGACTTCTCCCCTACGGCCCTCCAACCTCATCCAGTGGTAACCCCTTCCTCCTTCCACCCCCCCCCCAGTCTTGCTCACATCTGTCTCTTTTTGGGGGGTCCCGTTCCTTGGTTGGAATGTGTGAGCACTGGAGGTTCCGGATCCAGAGACACCCGGGTGTGGTGGGGCCCTCCTTCCGGAGCCTTTGGACTCACGGGTCGGAGAAGCCTTTGTTCCAATTTTGTTTTTTTTTAAAAAATCAACAAAAACAAGACCCAGATAAAATACCAAGTCTGGGGCAGAAAGAGCGACTCTGCTCTTTGAAGATCCCAATTCTGGAGTCAGTCGGTGGCACTGTTTCAAGGGAGGTGGAGGGCGAGCACCAAGGGGGTGTCCAGCTGGTGCTTTCGGGCCCCCAGGAGTGTCTGTGGTCAGGCTCAGGGCGCCCTTGCATCTCCATTCGAAGGGTTTCTTCAGGTTGACGTTCTTATTTGTGTTTTTGTACATGCGGGTGTGTGTCCGCATCTGTCTATGTGCAAGTGGGTCTGCTGTCGGGTGCGGGTGCGTGCGTATACATATATGTCCGTGTGTGTGTGCGTGCGTGCGTGCGTGCGTGTGTGCAGGTGTGTTTCTGGATCTGGGAGGGAGGGAGCCGGGACACAGGCTGTGCTCCGGGCTGGAGCTATACCCGGGTGGTGGAGTGTGAGTGTGGCAGCCCGGTACTGTTGAACCCCGCGGCGAAGGTGTTATAGGGGTGCAACGTCTGAAGCCCTACGAGGGAGTTGGGGATCATGGTGATGGTGTTGGGGGTCATGAGTGGGATGTCGTCAGGGGAGCGCCGCAGGGTCAGCGTGTAGTCGGGCAGCGCAGTGAGGCGCAGGGTGTCATGGGGGGGGCCGGCCTCACACTCATGGTGAGTGGGGCCCAGCTGCAGCGCCGCCAGCTCCTCCTCAGGAGCGGCTCCCAATTCGGGGGCCCCGGCTCCCCTCTGAGGGCTGGGCTGCCGCAGGGGCTCCTGTCGTCGTTTGTCCTTCCGGTAGTAGAGGGCGGCGAAGGCCAGGACGTTAAGGAACAGGAGTGAGGCCCCCACGGCGATGGTGACACTTAACTCGGTGGAGTAGTCACGAGGGTTCTCCACCAAGAGTGGCCCCGCATCCTGGTCCCCGTTCCACGAGCCCTGGGCGTTCTCGTTGCTGTAGGCGGGGGAGATGGCGGGCCGCTTGGTGCTCCAGGCCTTGCCGTTGGGCCTCCGGGTGATGTGGGAGCTGTGGGTGGTATCCGGGGGCGGCACTTTGGTGGTCGTGGACGTGTAGTGGAACATGTCATGCAGGTTGTACAGGTGGGGCACCAGGTGTTTCCAAAACGCTACCTTAGTGGCCCGGTAATGATCACGAACCCTCGGTTTCAGCCCAATGTGAAGGTACAGCTGGTCTCGGGGATTGTACTTGGACCAGGCCACTTCCTCAAAGCGGTTGGCCTTGGTGTGAATGAACTTGGTGTCCTGGGGAACCGGCTTGTTGGGATCCCTGAAATACCACATGGAAATCTGCGGTCACCACTCTACCTCTGACAGCCACCCCTACGCTTCCTCCCCGGTCCAAAGCTCCTGCCGTTGCCATCTCTTTCGGGGTCCCTCCCTTCGCTCCTACTCCTTCCCCCAGCCTTGAGGTCCTGCTGCCCACGGCATCACGGAACCGCGTCATCCTTCCCTACGCCCATCCTGCGCCATCACGCTATAGACGCCTTTTCTTCTCGCACACTCCTGAGCACCCGTCAGTCTCTGCAGCGCCCAGTTTCTCCACGAGCTCTTTAAAGGCTCTTTCTGGGTGTATTTTATTCCCACTTCTCGTGGCCTCTGGCCATCTAACCCTGAATCCCAGATTCGGCCAGCGACTCCCACTCCTGCTCAGTCCTAAAGTTAACTGAGTCCTGGGCCTCGACAAAAGTTTGGAGGGAGAGAAATGACACGAAAGACTCGAAATGGCATGAAAGGAGGAAGCGGGGGCTGCAAGGGTTACTGAGCGAGATTTGGGGAATACCTCAGAAGAGGTTTAGACAGAGGAGCAGGGCACAGAGCATGCTCGGGTCCCAAAGAAGAACACCCACTTTCTCCTTACCCGGTCTTGGCAAAGTTGGTCCAGTAGGTCATGACGACAGCACTGAGCATGACGTCATTCTTGGAGAAGTTGCAGGGGAAGAGGTCAGTGGGGCCCACCATAGGGACACCAAACACATAGGGTACTTCGTCCCCATGAGCTGCGTCTGACCAAGCGGGCTTCATGAGGCTCTGGCAGTGATGGTAGAAGGCGTAGAAGTAGGTAGGTGAGCCGTAGCGGGCATGCAGATCAGCTGTCACCACCGAGGGCTCCACCCACTGGTGGTCAGTGAAGAGTGCCACCAGTGTTTTCCGGCGGGTCTCAGGGTTGTCACGGTCTGCCCAGTCTGTGTACATGAATTTGATGGTCTCCCGCAGGGTATCCTTCCCCTCAGGATATCCATACAGGTTGTCCACAAAGTTGGAGACTGAGTAGTCAAAGTCAGTGCCAGAGACACCATCCTCAGGGTCCACCACCCCTTCCACAAACTTCAGCCCCTCGCCCTGGTTGACACCAAGCATGATGTCATAGTTGAGGAACTCACCCTGTTCCATGAGAATCTCAGGGTCATCGGGAATGACATCACCGTCGATCACAGGGCCAAAGGCCACATGGTAGCGGGCCGGCTGGATGTCCTGCTCTACCAGCTCCTTGGCGCTCTTTTGCCGAAGACAGTCCACCATGTCCACTGTGTCTAGCACATTGCAGCCCACCTTGTCCGCCAGCAGGCTGGTGTACTTCACCGGTTGATAGTTCACAGCCCAGCTGGACAGAGCAGAACCACTTTGGATGATGGCCCTCTGAAAAAGCCCTACAGAAGATAGGTGGCGTCAGGTCAGATTGGTCGCGTCACCCTGGCCTGTCTCTGAGGGACAAATCAAACAGCTCCTCGTCCCTTTGTTATGAGGCTGCTGAATGGCTCGAACAGGCTGGGAAGGAAGAACAACCCTTTCGGCTGTGATAAGTGAGGGCCCCTTCCCTGACCGGTCCTTTGCCTGCTTCTTGCTTCCTTGTCCAGGGGCAATGGTTGGTAACTTGGGGGTTAAGGAAATGCCGGGAAGAATTAACCCCTCATGCTCCCTCTCTTTATCTCTCCTTGTCTTACCCTCTTCTTCCTGCCCAGCTGGGCCCAGCTCTGTGCCAGCACACCACCAGGGAGCTGGCGCTTCCACCACAAAGGGGTCTTTTTCATGAGAGATGAGAAATGCAGGCAGGAGAGAGCCTCCCATTCTGGGAGTTTGGGGAAGGATTCCCAAGGGCAAAGGCCTTGGGGTCTGAAAGTCTCCAGAGACTTTCCTTTTCCTGAAGCTACCGATGCCTCAGATTCAGATTTTCCCCTGGCCCAAGGGGAGTCAGTCCCCCAAAGTAAAAAAGCGGATGGTTTTTCCGCCGCTAGGAGAAAAAGGCGACCGTTCTGTCCCTGGTCCCAACATCTCCAATGGGTTATGTGCTCCTCAGGCACACAATTCTATTCCTCTAAGAGACAGACAGTTTGCATGGGCAGAAATACGGGAGAAAAATACAGATGACGACTGAAGAGACAGCCTCTCTTTTCAAAAGATTATTCTCCTTGAATCTATTACGGGAAGACAGTGAACAACCCTATAAAACAGCCCGGCCTCCAGGGACACAGGTCCCACCTTAGTCTTCCCTCACCAGGGTCCCCCCTGGAGGGACAGAGACGAGATTTGTACGTGAGAGAAGGTGATTTTTCTCGCAGAGAGACAGGCCTCCTTCAAAGACAGACTGCAAGTCCTCTTGGGACGATATCACTAACTCACGGTATCGATTTCAACAAAAACCCGTGTCCTCTCTCATGGATTCCCTCACTTCAGAGAAGGCACCTTTCCCTCCCAGAGACAGAATGTGCTCTGTAGTCCAGAGGTGACGAGAACATTCCATGTGAGCAAAAGGGGGCCTATTCAGCCCCCTTGGAAGAGTCACTGACAGAGAGGCCCACAGCAAGGGGAGAGGCTCTCCTTCAGGCTACGGATTAATTTTCCTTAGGGGGTCATCCGGCCCGGAGGAAGGAGGTCTGGAGCCCACTAATAGGGGCACCTCAGTGGCCCTCGCTTGGGATGCATCTGCTCCGCAAGGACAGTTCCCTTGTACAGACGTGTCCTTCGGAGAGTAAAGCGAGAATTCCTTCTTCCCCTACAGAAACATCACCCTCCCCAAAGGGGCGCTGAGCTGGCAGAACGAGGTGAGCTGACGCCCGTGGGTGCCCCTGGAAGGCCTGAGGTGTGTGGTGGGTGGTCGGGGCTTCGCTTGTTTATGTTTTGCCCCCAGAGCTACTCACCCTCAGAGTGATGCGACAACGTGAGGAGGCTGACACAGGATGCGCCGATGCCCGAGCCAAACACGGTGATACGGCGGGGATCACCACCGAAGAAGGCGATATTCTCGCTCACCCAACGGAGGGCCTGGATTTGGTCAAGGAGCCCATAGTTGCCTTTGGCGGCCTGATCTCCAGTGCTCAGGAAACCTGGATCCGACAAAGGGCAGGAAGACAGTGAAGGTGGAGGCGTGGGGGATGTGGGTTATGGTGGCGGCCGGAGTCGGGCTGGGAGGAGGAGGTGAGCATGCGGCTAGCACAAAGCAGCACTGCTTTCGACCCGGGCAAGTAGCCCCTACACGGGAAGGATCAGCTCCCCGCCTCCCACGCACTCTCCAGTTTAGAAGGCGGGGTCTCCAGACCACTCCAAGGGAAACTTAACCTGAAGGAACTTCAAATGGCCGGGACCCAGCATCTTCTGCCCTGATGTTCTATCCGGGTCGTGACCCTGGCACCTGGCAAGACGGAGTGGAAAGAGCACGGGTCCTGGACTCAAACGGTCCTTGGTTCGAGTCCCGGCTCTACCACTTACTAGCTGTGTAGACTTGGGCAAGTTGTTTAAAATCTCTATAGTAAGTCTCCTCTTCTGTAAAATGGGGATAGAACTATCGAAACACACGATTACTTCTCTCCCTCCTTCCTTCTCTCTCTGAGTAAAGCGAAGGTCCCACGGGACCCCAATCCCTAAGCTGTCCCTTCCTCTACACGTTCGCCCATCTCTACTTCTTTCCGGGGCTTCGGGTGCCCCTGCCCCTCATTCTCAGGGCAGGTGTGCATTTCCCTTCCGTCAAGACCTAACGGGGAGGGGGCCCCGCCGTCGGGTTTCCAGCGTGCTCTCCAGGTGATTCCGATGCCCGCTAAGGTTGGAAAACCACTGGGTTAGACCATCTTTTTCATCTGGTGGGGAAATGGGGAATTCATCTGTGGTGCGTTACCACAGAAACAGGTCTTCCCGCCTACCCAGTGGGATTTGCTGCCGAGGAGCCATGTCACCATGGAGACTACCTTCCCACCCACCTGCTGGGATTTGCTGCTGTGGAGACTTGTTGCCATGGAGACTACCTTCCTGCCCACCTGCTGGCTATCCCACAGAGATGTCCTATATTTCCCCCACCCTACTTCCATTTTAGATGGATCCAGCTGCTTCATTTCATCCCTCTTCCCTGATCCTCAGGCTCCTTGGAAGGCTCCACCTTTTCCCACCCAAGGCTTTCACAAGGCTTCTTTACAGGTGGGTGGTTGTGGCGCTCCTACACGTCGGAAACCCACCCTGTCTCTGTATTTTCGGACCCCCTGTTAAAAGCTCATTCGCAGCACCTGGCATCAACTTCGTGAGAGGCCATGTTCGAGGAGGCTCCCAGGCTCTATTCCAACAGACCCGAGCAGGCCCAAGACCACATCACTGCCTTTCTCGAGTCCTCCTGTTTCTAGCTTCTGCGAGACAGTTCATTTCACCCTCTTCAAGTGTGTCATTAATTTACCTTTCGTGCGATGAAGTATGAAAAGTGTTTAGTTATTTCTCTCAGGACCTAGTCACGAGGCCTCTTTAGCCCCAGGTTCTCGGTGAGGAAATGAGAGGGGATTCGAGAAAGCCTGGATGAGGACGAATGGAAGAGCCTTTTTCCTCTAACACGGGGACTGGCTTCCCCCGTCCCTGGCCCATTCACGAACCGAAGCCGCTCCTGACGGAGATCCCGTCCAGCTGTGCAAGCCTCGAGACCCTCTGACAGAAATCGCTATGTGCTTCTCTTCGCCCACCTGTACCCCCTTCCCCCAAATCCTCTTTTTTCCCTTTTCCCTCATGTAGGCAAGAGCGGAGTCAGCCTTAGCCTTTGCCAGGGAAGGTATCATTCAGTGAAATGTGTCGAATACTCTGTCCCAATCAGCAAGGAGATTTCTCCAACGCGTACTGGTTTCCTGCGTTAGGAACCAAGCAAGGCCTGAAAGGGCTGTGTGGACGGTTCCACTGTCGCTCTGGGCTCCCTCAGGGTAAGAGGCCCTGAAGCATGTGAGTGATACCATGTCAACCGTCCGTACTACGAGAGTTCTCTGAAGCACTATATCCAACAGGCTCAGGCAGATGATACAGCAAACGTGACCCACCACCAGTACACAAAACCTGGCAGTCTGGGAGAGCAGTCTCTCGCTGCTCGCTCCCCTGTAACTCAGCCTTCCACGCTAAACACGTGAGAATGAGGGTTGAAAGACCAAACTCCATAAACTGTCAGAATACATCTGAGTCAGTCTCCCTGGGCCCAAGTTTATGCTGCAGTACATGGGAAGTTCCTTGTCAACAGAAGATGGGGGAATCTGGCACATCGTATCAAAACCAGAGGTCTCTGTCACTCGAGGCTTGGCGTTTGCCTGGTTTTCAGTTTGCCTGAAGGGTACCTGAGCAAGAATATAGGATTAAATTCTAGAACCCAGAATAAAACTTGGCGAGGCCCTATTTTTTCAGCTCCCGGGATAAACACATCCTATATCCTGCTGGTCTCAAGCCCAGTGGGGGATTCTTGAATAATAGCTATGCTACCCCTTTGCCTTGGATGGGGTCCATGGACTAGCCTGTGACGTTCACCAAGTACATGAGTCACCCAAGATGTCTAAAGCAGCACCTGAGAGTGAACTGTCTGGCCTCAGTGCTCCAGAGAAGCTGAAGGGAGGGAGGGTCCTTGAATAAGCTCATTTCCTTCAGTGTCCTTTCGTTTTAACATTGATGAGATGCCATAGGAACTTAATTCTTGTTTATAGCAATCGGCCTTCGATAAGATGTTTCATTATACGTCATTTCGCTTAAAGTCACAGAACCTCTTGATAATGCGAAGTAGGAACTGACTGTAAATGAGGTCCAAAGCTGTCCACTGTTTGCGGGATGCTTTGGGAAACGAAACCACAAAGCCTCAGCTCCACTGAGGAAGATCTCCAAGTGTCAGGGACAAGCCCATGTTCTACATCTGGCTCCGAGAGACAGAAACACCTTGTATGTACCCAGAAGCCAATCAGTGGCTTATTGATTACATCTGTGCTCCGCAGCAGGCACTGAAGAGCACACAGGAGCCAGTAGAGATCTTCCGACCCGATCTCAGCGTATGACTCCTTCTGAGGTTTGGGCGATACTGTGATCATGAACTGCTTAAGGCCAAAGAATCATATTTCTGTCCCCAGATGTGTTGTTCCCGTCATCCGAATGAGAGGGGGTTGCAGAGTGGGCGGTTCTTGATATGAGTTTCATAGATGAGCTTCGGTGGGATCCATGAAATCATTTCTAAGAGTGTGTGCATGTGTGTTTCTGGGGAGAGCCCACAGCCTTCCTCAGAATCTCAAAGGGGCCCAAGACTCCCCCAAGGTTAAGAACATCACATATAGAAGCACAAGGATTCGAGCAGCCGAAGGTCACCTCAGATCCTGTGAGTCTCGCCTGTCTCCTTCCACCTCCTTTGTCGGTGTCGCTCTTCGCCTCTTTGCTCACCCCCATCTCGTTCTTCTCTTCCTTATTTTCTCCTCTCTTTTCTCACTTCTCCCCTCTCTCTTTTCCTTCATCTCTAGCCCGTTCAATAGTACGGAACCGAAGCATATTCTTAGCGTTCTCTGTGTTTTGCAATACGCCTGCTAGAAGGTATATTTGTTTCCGAACCTTTGTGTTTAGAAGTTTTAAAAGCAGCCGAGTCGAATGTTGTCTATGACTCTCACTAAGAAAATCTAGTAGCAAAATTACTTTTGGCCTTCGAGAACCGCGTACGTGTGACTGGATAGCTGTATGTGATTATGTGGATGTATATTCATCGCTCTCCGGAACCGTGAAGCCCTAGCGTGTGGGTTTACGGCCACCTTCGTGGTACCATTGTCTGCTGTCAAAGACTCAGATCACCTTTCTCAACAGGACAGAACAGCTTACAAGAACCTTGACGTGACAGAGGAGGAGCAGTGGAACCGTGAAACTCAAAGCCCAGCAGACTCTTGAGAGACCCGGGAGGTGCCCTGCGTGCTTCATACCCGGTGTCCAGATGTTACTGAAGGGGACACAGGCTCCGCTCTTTTCAGGGACTGTCACTCCTCCAGTCTGGATCTGCCCAAAAGCGTCTTCCTATCCCATACAGCGCTAAAGGTAAGTCAAGAGGAGGTTGCCTTTCTGCGACATCACCACACCCATAAATGAAATGCAGCACCATGGCCTCTGGGATTAGAACTGGCAAAGCGATATATTCGAAAGCAAATCCAAATAAAGTCCGGCCAGCCACCTGGCCATGGAGGAAGCCATGCTCGATTGCTGCTTCAGCACTCAGGCCCAGGGACCTGACAGACAGCCTTGACCTCCACTGGAACTCAGAGGACACAACCCTCCAGGCAAGAAGTGGCTTCTTCATGCCACTGCAGGGATATGGGGCTGAACGTGCCCTCTGAGGCCTGGGTGAGCATCTGCAAGGATGCGAGGCCCTGTGTGCTTAGTCACCCTCTCTGAGGCGCTTGTTTACCTCTGTGGCCGCAGAGAGGCATTAATAATCACCAAGGAAGGTACAGGGGAGAGCGGGCGCCTAAATCACCGAAACAAGCATGAGGACAGCAGAGTGTGCACGGGGACGGGCATGCGGGTGTGTAAGAGAAGCTGTTTGGAAAGCAGCGTATATGCGTGAGAGTGTGTGTACAACGCGGCGGGAGCGTATGGGGAGGTGCGCGTGGAAAGAGTAGAAGCGTGTATGTGTGTGCGCGTGCGGTATGTAAGCGTGGGGTGTGCTCGCGTGTGGGGGTGAGTAGAGGTGTACGTGCACGGATGGCCGGGTGGGTATATGAATGCGTGTATACTAGAGTGGGGATATGCGCGTGTGTATGTGTGCGTGTGGTTTGTGCAGAGGTCTATGGCTGTGTGTATATGTGGGGATGTGTATGTGGATGCAGAAGCTGGAGTATGAGGCGGGTGTGTGCTATTTCTGAACGTGTAAGGTGGGGAGGTGTGCACGTGCAGGTACGAGTGTATACGGATAGGAAGAGGAAATGTGGGCTTGTGCTTCTGTTTGGAAGGTGACGGACACATGTACGTATGCGGAAGTGGGGTGGAAGCAACATTTATGTGCACTTCGGGGACGTACATGTGGGGTTTGTGCGCGTGCACGTGGACGTGCAGGGCACGGGTCTTTGCGTAGAGCATTAATATGGGGTAGAGGAAGGGGTGAGTATGATTAGGGGCCCCGTGTACAGGTGTAGATGTGGATGTAGATATATGGGAACGTGTGTGTGTGGCAGGTGAGGGAAATCTGTAGATTTGGGGTGCACAGAGGTGTAGGGGCCTGTGGATATGTGGGGGACACTGTACTGCAGAGTGGATATGGAGTGCTGAGGGAACGCGTGGAGATGTGAGAGGGTCCATAGAGGCGGATGCGGGGTACGCATGTGCGTGGGGGGGTGTGTACCTGTGGGCGGGGTGAGAGGTCACCGTATGCACGGGGCGGGGGGAGATGTGGGACATGCGATTGGCTAGAGGGAATACCTGCGTGTGTCCGCGCGGGCTGTTTAGGGATGCGCGCTGTGGGCGGGTAGAGATGATGACAGGACACTAGAAAATTAATAGGCCCCGCAAGACTCAGCCAAGCAAAAGTGTGGAAGCAGAGGCCTAAGAGAAGATGTGAAGTTGAAATTGAATTTCCAGTGGCACCTAAACATCCCGGGAAAGGACCCGGGGACAGAGGGACCTGTCCTCACTTGGGTAGGGGCCATGGCGTAACGACACGTGAGCACGGTCGTTCGCACCAGCCACAGAACCAAGGCCGCCTGTCCCTAAGTCCCCAGCATTCTGTCCTCCCTCTTTGAGAACCAGAGTCCCTTCTAGGTGCCTAGCAGGGAACCGTACCTAGCACCCCAACCCGATAGTTGAGGGTGATGACGATGACGTTGCCATAACTGGCGAGAACGCTGCCATCAATCATGTTGCCTGTGCCCTCCATGTAAGAGCCTCCATGGATGTAGACCATGACGGGCTTAGCGCCACTGTCCCGGATGTCTGTAAGGAAAAGGGGTGAGACACAGGCTAGGTAGGATGCCCTTCCTCCCCCACCCCCGCCGGCCCTGGGGGGGGTGCGGGCGGCAAAGCTATCCCAGGTGCCAGGACACCATGGCCATCTCTGAGGGCAGGACTCGTGGGGCTGCTCAGCCTGGAGCTCGAGCATCAGTCAGACAGTTGCGCTTCCGCGACGTCTTTAAAGACGCCGGTTTCAAGGACCTCCCGGCAGCCAGGCGCGCCCGGAACGGCGAGGCCCAGGTAGGCCTGTGCCTGTGCCCTGGGGACAGGGGCAGGAGGAAGATAAAGGGCTGGTCCCTCAGCTGGATCAAGTGAGTCCCTGCCCCGGGCACCCGGGGGTCCTGGGACCTGATGTGGCTTTAGAGAGAGGGGCCGGAAGCCCTGGAACGCCCAAGACTAGACCAGTTACACAGAAATACGGTCATTGGCAGCAGCTGCCCCCCCAGTGCGGACAGAGACAAGAGGGCGGGCATAGAAGCAGCACAGGGAGAGAACGAGGAAGAGTGTGGGGGGAGGGGCGAATGGCAGCGATGGGGTGAGGGGGCCTGAGTGACATGGTGTCTCACCCATGTGCTCATTTCCTCCGTTCTCCCCGGGCGTCAGGCAGACTTAACTGGAGCCACCGGGGATGTGGAAGAGGAAAGGGTCGGAGCTAAGAATGACAGAGCCCGCCCCCAGTCAGCATTAAGATGAAGATGGAGCCTTCCAGAGGCCAGTCCAGGAGGGGCCTTAAAGTGGCTGCTCCCCAGCCCGAGCAGCGGTCAGGAGGAGGCTCGCGGCCTGGCCACCTCTACCTGACGCCTCTCGACACTCGGCCACACCGGCACAGTCCTACCAGCCCCCAGTGGGTCCCCTGAGCTGTCCGGCCCCTCCAGGGGCGCAGGGGCAGGGCCGGGGCGTAGAGGTCGAAGGGAATGCTCTGTGCTGCTCAGCAAACACAACTCGTTTGCCCAAGGAGAAAGGAAGATGGCTTCGGCCATCACCCAAAAGCCTGCCGACTGTGGAGTCCCGGCCTCAAAGCCCTTCTGGCCCTGTCCTGAAGCTCCTGCGGCCCCTGACCCCGAGGCCGTCTGTCTCCCTCTGGGAGAAGTCTAGGTGACACTGTTCTCCAGCCACTTGGCTCCTCTCTGCGTCACTGTTCACTTCGACATCCTGCTGGGCCCCATCTCCCAGGAGCCAGGCTCCCCACGAAACACAGCTGTCTCCTCAATAAAACACAGGCGTCTCCTGGCCCTCCCTCAGCCCTGCTTCGTCTGCACTCGCCCTGCCGCTCCGAGGGCCAGGTGCTACTGGACGACTGAGAGCGGGGGCGGGGACCGGGGCGAGGAGGACGGCCTCCCCCCCGGGGCTCTGTTTGTGGTCTCCTGCTCCCGCCGGCCGTGTCCATCACCCTGGAACGGCCCGACGGCCTTGTATAGGAACAGAAACACACCAACGGACGGACAGACAGACAGACGGGGCTTCACCCCATCGAGAGGGGGAGGGGCTCTGTGCCATGCACCAGCTGCCGCGCCCTGCAGCCCCCAAATACCTTCATCTTCATCCCCGTCATTATCCGCTAAGTCCTCGCCCTGTTTCTTAGCGCCGGATCCTGGGGACCAGACACGGGGAGACACAACAGCACAGAACAGAGAACAAAACAGAGAGAGAATTCAAAAACAGCATGACTGCAGTGTGGCCCAGCAAGCCGGCTCTGGGCCTGGGCCCAGGACAGGCAGGAGGGATGGCAAGAACTGAGGGAATGGGTGGGCTGAGGCCCAGACCTTCGTCAGGATGATGCTGTCGCAGGCCCCTGCTGTGCCGGCCTCCCTGTCCCCAACAGCCCATGTCGACCAGTTAGAAAGGAGAGAGCAGCAGGTGGGCCAGGGCACAGAGCCAGAGCCCCACTCAGGGGAAGGGCTACTTCCGCCAGTACGGAAGGGGCTGTGCGCGCACACAGGTGGGCTGAGCTGGGGACAGGGGCAGGCACCGAGGGTGGGAGGCAGCATTGCCCGCAAGTGCGCATACGGGTATGAGCTTTGAGGGCCGAGCTAGGTACGGGGACCCAAGCCCTGAGCCCGCGCGCCCAGTGGACAGGCTCGAGCTGGGCCTCAGCTGACCCTGATTCCCACAGGAGAAAATGGGAGATGAAGCTGTCATTCTGGTCTCCCTCGTCGGGGCCCCCTGTCCTGGTTAATGGCAAATGGGGTTCCTGCCCACAGAAACCAGGCCTGAGAGCAGCAAGCATTGTTCTGAGATCTAGAGAGAGCCAGAGGGAGGGAGGGAAAGCAGGAAGGGGAAAAGGAGAAAGGAGAGAGAGAGAGAGAGAGAGAGAGAGAGAGAGAGAGAGAGATAATACTAATAGCTCATATACCACATAGTATGTACTGAATATGCACCATGTGCCAGACACTCTACTTCCGCCATGAGAGAGGGAGAGAGGGAAAGCAGGAAGGGGAAAAGGAGAAAGGAGAGAGAGAGAGAGAGAGAGAGAGAGAGAGAGAGAGAGAGATAATACTAATAGCTCATATACCACATAGTATGTACTGAATATGCACCATGTGCCAGACACTCTACTTCCGCCATATGGTTCAAGCCTCACACCCCAGTGACGTAGGTACTATCTTTATTCCTGTTTCACTGATGGGGAAACTGAGGTTCAAAGAGGTAAAGTGACTTGCTCAAGATCACACAGCTAGAAAGTTCTAGAGGGGAGATTCAACCCCAGGTCTGCTTGACCGCAAAGGCCATGGTCTTTCCACTGCACCGTTCTGGGATGGGGGGAAGGACGACGACAGGAAGTGAGCGAAGAGGTGGCGCATATGGGGGAGGGGCGGGGAGGGCAGGACAGGAGAGGAGAGACGTTTAGGACCTGGCTGTAACCTGGCACCAATTCTTCTTCCTGTTCTCAGGACATGAGCATGGCCGTGGAGAATGGGGACCCGCAGCCTGGGGAACCAGATGTCACTCTGTCGACACCCCAGGGCTTACCCTGCAGTCTAGAAGGCCAGATACTCTCAGCCTGGAGGCAGCAAATAGCCCTCCTTCTCAGCCGCTCCGGGCTCCAGTGACTGAATTCCCTTACAGCTATTAATCAAAACAGGAACCGCCCTCATATTACAAAATGGCTTTTCAACTAGGGCAAGAGCCCAGCCCAAGGGGCAGAAGCCGCCTCCAGCTTCCCGAGCTTCCAGTGGCGTCGGCCATCTTAGCACCTGCCAGCACTGCCCTCAGAGACCCTGAGGGACACGGGGCCTCATCATCCACACGACGGACAGCCCCCTAGATGGAAAGGAATCCCTCATCCCTGAACATGAACTCCCTCCAAGGCGATGGGGCTGGGGGGCGGGGGATGGAGCGGGTCTTCCCCATGCGCCTTGACTTAGAAAAGTGTCCCTTTTGCCCCCCGCCCCCACCTCGAGGGGCCCGGATTTCTGCATTGTCCCAGCTCTTTCACACTTGCTGAGCAACTCCTTGCTGCTGTGCCTGTCACTCACGCCATCTGGACCACTGTCACCCATCCGGACACTGTGCTGCCTCAAGATCTCAGTCAGGCCCGCCCTGCCCACCCTGTGCACACAACCCTAATGGCCTCTGGGGATGAACTTCGTCCAAGACGCAGGGCTTGTAACTCAGGCCCAAATGGCCAGTGGGCCCCGGGTAGGGAACTCATTCGAACACCGGAATGACCTCTGCACACTGAAACCTACCTCCCCGCCTGGCCCGTGAACGCGGATGACGCTAAATGCCAGGTTAGGTGCTTCTTCAGAGTGGTCATCAGGCCTTCAGTTATTTCTAAATCTTTCTGCCTCATTCACGCCCAACGGCACCTAGCTCTCGGCCTTGCCCATAGCCAGCGGTCACGATCGGTAAATATTTGTATGTGAACGGAACTAACGGTCAGCTAGCTCGCTCGCCAAACTCCGGGCACTCGGCGGGACTGCCCTAGGCTCTTACTGGTGTCCTGCGGAGATGACCCATCCTAGGTAATGGTCAAGGTTAAGGCCGTCTCCTCTCCCGGCAACCCAAGTACGGAACTCGGAGGAGCAAGTTTAACAGACCCTCTTATGAAGTCATTGATCGGGCTAACGGAATGTTAAGGACAGACCGGCCCCTCCCACCTTCAGATGCGGAAAGAGAGGTTCTAAGGCCTAAGGCCTCACTTTGAGTTCGCAGCAGAGCCAAACAGACCCGGACCCGGGCCTCCCCAGGACAGCAGGCCTCACTCCCGAGAGCCCGGAGTCCTGACTACTCCGCTTGGGGGGATCCTGCTCTAGGATTTCAAAGGAAAACAAACTGCAAACTTGCCAAAGGGATGTGCGGACCAGGCTGTCATCGTCCACCTGTCTCTTAGGCCCGGCTCAACCCACCGTCGCCATGTTTTGCAGACGGGAGTCGCCCCGCATGCTACAGTGGAAAGAACAGTGCCCCGAGGGTCAAGAGACCCAGCTTTCGGTCCGGGCTGCGCCACAGACCAGCGACAGGGCCTCGAGCAGCAGCAAGTCACTCCCCTGGGCCTGTTTCCTCATCTGTAAAATTGGGATGCCGATGCCACCTTAGAAGCTTCCAGAGACGTGGGGAGGATTTTATGAGGTAATTATGAAAGCACTTCACAGAAATCGTAAAGTGCTATTTGCACAGGGAGAATTATTATGCGGGTGGGACAAATTTCTCTCCCCAGGAGGGTCCATTTCAAATGCAGGGTCTCGTGGCTCCTTTGGAGCCCAGAGTTTCTGGAGACCCCCCCCCCAAGGTCAGCCAGGGGCCAAGCCCGGCTCACTCAGCTACGCTCTGGCCAGAGCTGGGGGCAGCAGCGGGATGACTGGGCCTGTGTTACAAGTTTGGTCTCAGCTGCAGCACTGGAGAGGTGAGTCTAGAACTTTCAAGCGGGAAAAGGGCAGCGCCTCTGGCTCCATCTTGGCTGCCTAGAGTTCTCCTGAGGCGCCTGGTGAGAACCGGCTCCGCCACTGGCAGAAGCTTATGGGTGGAATTTGGGGCTGGGAAGCCTGGAGGGAGCGGAGTCGCCGCCTCTGCCCTGAACCTGCCTTAGGCCACGAACTCCCCCGTGAAAAGGCAGCCAGGGCCCTGGGCCTGGCTACTTGAAGGAAGGCTGGGTCCTCGGGGGCAAGGGCAGGCGGGCAGGCAGCCCTCCCTCTCTCTCTCTGTCCCTCCCCGCCGGCTCGCTACCTACCTCCTTTCCTACAAATTTTCTTGTTGGGCTTTCGGGCGCATTCCTTGGAAATCCGCTTTACTGTAAAATGAATAAAAAACTAAAAAATAACAGGAGGCCTCTGCCCAGGGGCATGCACCCCCAACCCACCCAGGCACCAAGAGCTGCTCTGCAGGTGGCACATGGCAGAGAGCCTGTCCCACCATCTCCTGGTTTCTGTCACTTACCTTACTGTGACCCCCCGAGGGAGGAGGCGCCAGCTAGTGAAAGAGGCTTGCCCCCCGCCCCCCACAGCCCCGGCTCCCTTGGCTACACACGACTACCACCTTTCAAAGCAGGTGGGGTGGCAACGGGGGGCCTGATGGAGCCAGGATCCTCCCGCGGGCGGCTGCCGGCGGTGGCGCATAGTCCCCCAGGAAACCCCCATCCAGCGCTCTGGCCCTAGACTTGTCAAAGCTCTCAGGCCTGGCCAGGCCCCTCCTGCTGACAATGTCACTCACACATGGGAGCTGAGACAATGCCGGGAGAGGGAAGAACAGGGAGGAGGAAGGGGGAGGCCAAGCAGAGTGATGGTTGGAAGCATTTTCACAGACAGAGGCATGCTGCGGGCCACACAGCCACATGCAAGCCACGGACACGGCGGGGCCGCGGCACTCACCATCCTCCGTGGGCACATAGACGTTCAGGTAGAGGCAGTCCTCATTGGGCTCCTGGATGTACGTGGCGACGATGTCCAAGTTGGCAGTGAACCAGACAGGCAGCATGACTTCAGGCACAGCTGTGTGAATGTTCTGGGGGCACACTGGGGGGAAGTGCGTGGCGTTCCGGATGCCCGACCAGGATGGGGGCGGTTCAGGGGGCAGGAACCGTTTCTCGCCGATCGGAGGAGCCGCGTAGGGCACCCCCAAGTACTGGTCCACAGGCCCCAGGATCTCGCTAGGCAGCGGTACCCGCGCACCCCTCAGCTTCCCAAAGTGAGTGTTGACTGTGGGTGCTGGGGCCTGAGTACTGGCTCCCAGCACCAAGCCGAGGAACCCCAGGGTGAGGCACACGCTCCGGCCAACTGGGAGCTTGGGGCTCAGGGACAGCGAGGGCAGGCCGAGCCGCGGCCACATGTTCCGGGCAGGGGTACTGGCAGGGAAAGCAGACTCCAGGCTCACAGCATCAGCCCCTTCATAGCCACACAGACTGGAACCTCAACACTGAGCTCTCGAGGGACACCTACAGGTGCCCAGCCACGGACAGAGCGGGTCGTCCAAGCTCCACGGCTTCAGAAGGGGGGACTCCCTCAGGGCCAGACAGGCCTGTGGAAAGAGGGAAGGACTTGTCACCCAAGATCGTCGGCGGGGCTACAGAGGGCTCTGGGGGGGGGCCCTGCGGGGCCGGGGCTATCCTCTTCCAGCCAGAACCATTCTGGAAAAGCCAGGGGGAATGACAGAGTGACAGTGGTTGGTCCTGCCAGTCCCCAGGCCCCAACTTCAACTCCTCAGCCAGTGGAGCTCATGGGGACCAGCTGGAACCAAGGTGGCCTGTGTCGGCGGGGGCGGGGGGACTGGAGACAGAGCTCGGGCCGCCGGGCAGGCTGCATGAACACTGAGCTCTCTAGCCACCGAGACGGGAGCCCCACACGGGGACCTCCACATCGGGGGACAGTAGGGTCGTGAGCCTCGCACGGGGACTCTAACGCCTAAGAAGGGAAAGCAGCAGATAGGCCAAGGGTTCCACGGAAAGGTCCCCTCGCCCTTAGGCGGGGCCACTGGCCAGAGCGCCCAGCCCCTCCCGTGCCCTCTTGTAGATTTCTCCTCGGCCCTAACTGCTCCCAAGTCCTTAAGCACCGGTCCTTTCCGTGGGGTCGCTCTGGCTCCACGGAGTGCCAGAACCCAGGCGGGAACCCGTGTGCCTAGCACCCTAGGCATTGTCGATGCCCAGCCAGTGTGAAATCCATACCGGACTGCAGGGGACACACACTTGGAGACTCATGGAAATCAACTCAGAAAGGCTCAAAGAGAGAGCGAGAGACCAAGCCAAGATCACAGGCACTGTGAGATTCGCTCGAAGCCATACGTTCCAGACCCACACGGATCCCCTCATACAGTCCCACGTTCTGAGACAGCATCACAGAGCCGGAGACTCACAGAGACACATTCAGAGAGACACACAGAGACTTACTAAAATCTAATCACACAGCGCATAGGGAAATATCCAGAGACACATGAAGCATAATGGTGACACGTAGGTGGGGACAGAAACAGGAATAGCAACACAATCGAGACACACAGGCCTTCTGACACCCGGTTACACAGTCAACACACACCCAGAGGCACACACAGACACTCCTGCATGGAGACGCACACACACACACAATTCAGTTTTCCCTCATTTCTCCCGCCTTCCAAGATTGCAGGCCTGTTCCTTTAAGAATTGCCTGAAGGGGTGGGGGAGGGAGATTGGGAACGCCCGGCAATCGGCCACCACGAGAGGGGAATGAGAATGTGTGTGTGTGTGTGTGTGAGAGAGAGAGAGAGGGAGAGAGAGAGGGAGAGAGGGAGAGAGAGAGAGGGAGAGACAGAGAGGGAGAGAGAGAGAGAGAGAGAGCCAGCCAGTGCAGAAAAAGGTGGAGGAGGGAGGGCAGCCAAAGCGACTAAAGGGGTGGGGGCTCGGAGGAAATGGGGAGCAAAGTGTTAGGGGGTCAGATGCCAGACACTGCCCAGAATGCACCCGGTGGGGGGAGGAGGGGCAGGGGAAGGAAGGGGTAGGAGTAGGGAGGTGGGGCAGGAGGGAGTGGGTGTGTGTGTGTGTATGGGGGGGATAGTCCGCAGCTGAGTTCACACAATCCCCCCATTCACCGTCTCCATGGGCTGCCGCCCCTCCCCACAAATTCCATTAACCCTTTTGGGATGCCTCCCTCTCCAGTACCCCTTCGGCGCCAAATGCTGGTCCCCTTTGAATCAATTTCCTGCGGCCCCTCCCCTGTGAACAGCTAGACAAATCAACCGACCCCCAAACGCCCTCTGTACCCTAAGACCCACTGTGACTCCCCAAGGCCAAGATGTCCATCCTGGTCCAACTTGCGATTTGGGAGCAGACAAGGGGAGGCGGCAATGCCGGGGATGAGAGTGGCATGGGGGGTACTTCTTAGGCTGGAGCACCATTGGGCGAGGGGCGTCATGCAGGAAT